ACCAGATATTTTACTGTTTTACCTAGAGTTAGGATGAGTCAGAACGGATTTGATAGCACCTAAGGACAAAGATGACAGTAATGTTTTTTATAATCTTCAGCAGATTTTGCTTGCTAAAGGGTACTTAATCCAGGCCATGATCTTCACAATTACTTGTTATTTATCAGAGAGCAAGACAATTACTAAGGATGATAGAAGAAGAATCAATGCCTTTGAATTGTGGTGCTAGAGAAGAGAATTGAAATACTATGGACTGCCAGGAGAACAAACAGGTCTGTCCTGGAAATCAAGCTGCTTATTGGAGGCAAGGATTTTAAAGTTCTGTCTGACATACTTTGGGCATGTTGCCAGGAGGGACCAGTCCTTGGATATGGAAATCATGCTCAGAAAGGTAGAGGGTCAATGCAGGAGAGGAAGACCTCAGATGAGATGGATTGACACAGTGACTGTGGCAAAAGAGGCAGGCATGTCAGAGACAGTGAGATTGGCTCAGGATAGGGCAGGGTTTAGTGCTATTGTGCATAGGGTTACTATGAGTCACAGTCAACTCAACAGCACATAACAAGAAGAAGAACAAGCTCTGGTGGCTTAGTGGTGTGGAGATGGGCTACTAACCTGAAGGCATGCAGTTCAAATCCACCAGCTGCTCTGAGAGACAACAAAGATTGAGTGAGAGAGAAGAGAACGGAGGCAATTTGAGAGCAAATGTGGAATTAGAAAAGCATCAGAGAAGAGATATACTTTGATTTGGGCTTTGTCAAGAGAGTGGTGGGGGAATTGCTGGGTGCATTTAATACTAGACTGCAGAGGTGATGTCACTTTTAAATCCTTCAAGTCAAGCCTATAACCAGTAATACCAAAGAGGCATTCACTCTTTGAAATAATCAACTATATAAGGTCAAAAGAGTAGCATTTGCTCCAAAGGCAGAAACAAGTATGAAAAAAAGACAAATAGAAATGAGCACAACAGTAAAGAAATGGGCAAGAAATCACATTGTGGACATTTGTGATGAATGTTATTAAATAATATATAGGAAAGCTTGACTGGAACATCAAGGTGCTTGGTAAATTTTCACTCAAAGCATGATTTAAAAAAATGCCTTAAAAAAATCTTTCAGAAACAACCTAAGTGCCCATCAACACACAAACAGATAGAGAAGCTCTGGTATATTCACACAATGGAATACTGTGCTGCATTGAAAAACAAGAAACTCATGAAGTATTACACAAAATGGGAGACCCTGGAGGACATCATGCTGAGTGAAATATCTCAGTCACAAAAGACAAATACTGCATAGCACCACTGTTGTAAAGAGGGACTGACATTGGAGTTAGAGGGAAACTAAGAGGGGATAAATAATGTATACTGCATTGAAACAGATGAGGGAGAGAACTGTTTAAGAGGAATATATGATTAGGTATTATTGTGATTACAAGAGTCCAGAATGAAAGCTGCATAGTGGAGTGGGCTGGGGGTGGTGGTAGATTGTATAACAATGAAAGAAATTTTTTTTTTACTTTTCAAAGAGAAAAGCTAACTTGGGGGAGGGGTGGGTGGGGAGGAAAGTGTGCAACAATGAATGAACAGAAATCCAAAGTCTGTAAACTTTCATTAAAATAATTTTTTTTAAAAAATCTTCCAAATCCTATACCAATTTGACACCATAACTCTTTTCTCTGCTGAGATTGAGTATTCAAGAAGACTAGCAGGGAGGACACAGCAATGAGCATGAAAGGATGGCTGGGGGTGAGGAGGAGATAGGGGAGGTGAGTCAGAGCTTCTGAAGCCTGTGGAGGAGCTGGCTGAAGGGGCCCTGACTCAGTACACCCAGGACACTGCCAGGGACCATTGGTGAAGGTGTCAGCTGCAGGAGAACACTGAAACCAGGACAGTGGATGAAATGTAGGAGAAGAGAAACTTTGGGGCTGGTGAGAGCAAGTGAGTGAGCAAAAGAGGAAAAAAGAGAAAGGAAAAGATAGAAGGGGAGTAGGGGAAAGCTAGGTCTGTGGAAAGGTGACGGCAGAAAGACCATCACTCTTGAAACTTCCTCAGTCTGAGCAGAGGGGGCTGAAAGCAGATTTGGAAAGGTGGGAGGCCATTATGAAATAATCTTACTACAAAAATGGCTCCCTCTTGAAAAACAATGTATATGAACTTTGTAAGTAAACCAGTATAAAATACAAATTTTCATTTTTTTCAAATGGCTCACCCCTTCCTATGAGCCTCTTCTCATTTCTACCTGTAACCTGTAAACTGTAACCAGTCCACACCGAGCTCTACAATCCACACTGCGTCCACACTAAGCTCTGTAAATTCCATATCATTTTTGATACTTCACTCTGTGAGGCTTATTTTACCTTCCTAAGCCTGGAAATGCAGTTTCTAGAATTCTCTGAGTTCAAAGCCAGGCACTAGTCAATCGGGTTTTAAGGGGCTGAGTGAAGGTGGTTGTTGGTTGGGGCCTTCAAGTTGAGTCCGATGCCGTAGTGATCTGTGAACAACAGACGTGAATCCCACCCTATCCTGTGACATCCTCAGGATCTCTGCAGACTATTGCTGCAGTCACTGTGCCAATTCATCTCCATGGGGGTCTTCCTCTCTTTCTTTTCCAAATAATAGCCTTTCCTAGCAACACGCCCAAAGTATGAGAAATGAACCTTGATCTTCTCTGCCTCCAAGGAGCACTGTGGCTGCACCCTTTCCAAGCCACCTGTTCGTTCTTTTGGCAGTCCACGGGATAATATTTTAATCTGTCATGGTCTTGCCGTATGAAATTTAGTTATTTTCTCAGTCTCTTGTCCTCTGTGTCTAATGCGCTGGGACACAAAACTCAACTCCAAAAGAGCCCTAGCCCAAGGGGTGGGGTGGGAGACGATGGGGAAGCCAGACCCTGAGGGCCTGGCCTAAGGGAGCGGCCAGCAGAGGGAGCGCTGGCACCTGAGCAGAGGCGGCTGCGGCTCCGGGATCCGAGCGCTTCTCCCTGCTCTCTCTTGCTTACAAACGCGGTTCTGAGTTGGGGAGGTGGCTGGGGGACGAGCCGCATTAATACCGAGCCTCCGGAGGTTGGCTCCTGAGATGCGTGAAACAGTAGATCATCTAAAAGGGTCTCAATCTCATCTGTCAAATAGGGGTTTGTTAGTTAAACTCTGGTAGTTCATAGAGGGTTTGCACTACCAAGAGTCCAGGCTTCTCTGCCAGTTCTAATCCACCAACCTCTCTGAGGGAGGAAGACAAGCCGACTCCTTCGGTGCGATTTACAGTCTTGGAAACACAATGAATGAAAGGACCGCTATGAGATGGAATTTACTTGATGGCAATGAGAAATTAAAGTGCTAGGCACCAGGTATAATTACAAACTACAAGATTCTTCTTTGCTGTGGAATTTACAGTCTGGGAGAAGGGAGAATTAGGGAGGGCATAAATAAGGAAAAGAATGAGAGAATTTTGTCTTTTGAAAGATGTCATGAGAAAAATAAAGGATGGAGCCACCGTGTGGAGTGAAGCTGGTACCTGAAGATGTTGCTGCTTTTGTTCACCGGTGCAAGAGTACACTTCAAACATACTTGAGCTCAATGATACAGTCACTGTGTCAATCCATTTGGTTAAGGTTCTTCCTCTCTTTCGCTGACCCTCCACTTTTCCAAGCATGATGTCCCTTTCTAAGGAATAGCTTCTCCTAGCTACATGCACCGGTAATCTCATAATGTGGAATTAACTGCTTCTAAAAACCCGCTGTGGGTGTGTTCCAAGTGGACAGCAAACCACAAGAAACAGCAACATGTCCAAAGTGTGAGAGACAGAGTTTCACCATCCTTACATCTAAGCAGCATTCTGGCTGCACTTTCCCCAATTTGTTCTTTTGACAGTTCATAGGATATCTACGCCCCTGTTCAGACTCCAGCTACCTAACCACAATTCAGTTCGTAGGATGAAGATAACTAGCCTAAAAGGAGAGCGCGTTCTAGACAGAAAACTACTAGGGTGGAGAGCCACCTCCAACAAATGCGTTAGAGGAAAGAAAAAAGGTGGAAGGGGCAGAGAGCAAGGAGCTGCAAAGGGGCGCCCAGGCTGTCACAGCATCCAGCACGTGGTGAGGACGTGAAACTAGGAAATCAGGGGTGGTGGAAATCAGAACAGCAGAGGCAGTGTGGTAAGGGGAGGTCAGGATCCCAGGAAGGGGTTCATGGGCCCCCTGGGGCGATGGAACTTTGATTAGGATGTTGGCAAAGGGACACACTTATGAAAACCCAGAGACGATTTATCTGTGCATTAGAAAGTGAATCTCAAAAACAAATCAAAAGTGAAGAGTGGGCCGAAGTGTAAATTGGGGAAATCCCTCGACTTGGTGCTCCTGCCTGCTTTGTGGGCAGACACCTGGTCTCCAGGTAGAGATACAGGGAGTGAGAGCAGGTGGATAGAAAAGCCCAGGCCGGGTGCGGGCGAAGTGTGCCCCCGGGACCCATGGTTGGTGCAGCTCAACGCCAGCACCCGAGCCGGGGTCCCGCTGCCCCGCCCACCGGTCGTCACGGGCAACACTGGAGCCCCCTTCCTCGGGCCCCGCCCTTCGAGAGCAAAGACCAGGTGGCGGTTGGGGCGGGACGAGCCCGTTTGATTTTTCCCGCGGCCGGTGGAAAGGGACGGGGGGGAGGGGAAAGGCGCAGTCGGCCAATGGGTTGCGCGAAGGCTGGTCACGTGGCCGCACAGGGGTGGGGCCCAGGTGTACTTATGGGGCTGCGGGCTGCGGCCTCGGCCTCAGTGCGAAGTCCAGGAGGCGGGTCCGGCGTGAGGGCCGGGGAGGGGCTGCTCGCCCCTGATTGGCGGGCGGCCGGGAGGCGGGGCTTGCGCGCGCCGCGGCGACGGGCTGCGATTGGCCTCGGCTGCGGGCCCGCTGCGGGCTTGCAGGCGAGGCTCGGGGCGCGAGGACCTAGCGGGGCGGCGGGTTCGCGAGCCGGGGGGAGGGGCCGGGGTGGTGGCGGAGGAGGCGGCGGAGGAGGTGGCGGCGGCGGGGGCCGATACTGGACCCGGCGGGATGAGCGAGGCGGAGGCGGCAGCGGTGGCGACAGCGGCCCCCGCGGCGACGGTGCCCGCGACGGCAGCTGGGGTGGTAGCAGTGGTGGTACCGGTGCCCGCGGGGGAGCCCCAGAAAGCGGGCAGCGGGGCGGGCGGCAGCGGAGGTGGAGCTGCCTCCGGCCCCACTGCTGGGACCCCCGCAGTGTCGGGCCTCCGCACTCCTGGCAACCCGGCGACGGCAGCCTCGGGGACCCCCGCACCCCCGGCCCGGAGTCAGGCGGACAAACCGGTGCTGGGTGAGGGGGGGTCGCGCGCCCGGGCGGCTCGAAGGGGTGGGGGCGAGCGGGTGGGGGAAGGGCAACCTGGACCTTTTGGGGTCTGGAGGAGGGCTTGACCCAGAGGACCGGCTGGGCGTGGGCAGTGGACCTAAGAAAGTGGGTTCCCTTGCCGAGGAATGCTGCCATGCATTCAGGAGGTCTTAGGTAGGAAAGGCAGGTCCACCTAGGACCTTGAAGCGGAGGTAAACTCTCAGGGACTGGCCACGCCCCCGGGGCAGAAACTTGGTTCAGTTGACTTCACTTAGTAAATGGATGAATCCGGGAAGCAGGTGAACTGGGATCATGGGGAGAGCTAGAAAAGCCCTTGGTTGTGACCCATCCTCACCCCACTCCACCCCACTCCCCTTTGGACCAGGTGAGTTTGCAGTTGTAGGTGAAGAAGGCCCTGGATTTGTAAGGATGTGAAAAATGTGACTTAAGAGTTGCTGTTGGGGCACTTCCATTTTGAAGCCATTGGGTGAAACCTGGTTGGCTGGAAGTTAAGTTTAATAGTAAGAGAGAGAGGTAGGTTAGATTTTACAGTGTCTGGAAACTGAGCCCAGCTCCATCTCTTCCCCTCATCTTACTGTCCCCACTGCATCTCTGCCTGGCAGCAATCCAAGTCCTGGGCACTGTCAAATGGTTCAACGTCCGGAATGGTTACGGATTCATCAACAGGTATCCACGGAGGGGGTGGAGTGGGTGCCTTTTGAACTGGCCGCTGTCCCAGCCTCATCTCGGTGGAGTGGGTGCCTTTTGAACTGGCCGCTGTCCCAGCCTCATCTCTTCTGCTGAGGCATATGGCTGCCTTGTGCAGGGCCCAGCTGGTTCTGATTGAAGGCCTTTAACCACAGCACAGATGTGAGCTTATCAGCAAGATGAAGCCGCCTTCCACTCGTCAAGGGCAACCGAGGGTTAATGATCCAGGAACTTGGCAAACCAGATTCTGACCCTCCCAGCTTCTGTCTCACCTTCTGGAATTGCCTCCTCATTTTTAGTTTGCTGTGCTTTCAGGGCTGAATGTACAGGCTCTCTTCGCCTGAGGGCTCAGAGCTAGAATCCTCACTGATTTCCTGTTCAGAGCTGTGCACATAGCACTCACACAACTCATGGTCCTTAAAGAGCAGCTGGCTCATTTGACTCCCCCACCTGGTTAGGGGAAGACGCCTGTCCAGCTGAAGCCTGCGGCCCTTCAGCCCTACCCACTCCCCGCACCTAAAGAGGCGAAAGTGGCGAAGTCAATCGGAGCCAGGTCTTCTCCCAGAAGGCTTCTCCCCAGACTGGGCACCCTGCCCTGCCCCCCTGGGAGCCACTAGTTCCCTCTGAGCAGGCTGACCTTTGTGCAAAATCAAGTGCTTAAAAGCCAGAACATTTATTCTTGGGAAGAATACCACCCTGATTCTGGAAACTTGAGGATTCCTAAGTGGCTAAACGTTTTCAGAACCCATCTCTCATTGGGGTGCTAGGATAAACAGGTAACAGGCAAGGTGTTGGTTAATTAGAAAAGGGACAAAACCACCTTCTCACCTTTAGTTCCTTGTGTGTGGTAAGAGGGCCCGACCCTTCGGTTCACCCCAGTCTGAGGGTGAGAAGATTTTGCAGCAGTTTGAAGCAGGCTCCTGGCACCTTATCTCCTTTTCCAGCTTGCTCTTCTCCAGTCCCTTTCCCTACCTTTCTCCCTTCTTGAGTGTATAAGGAAGGAGATGGTGGAATTTTCCAACCACAATGAGCAGTGGGGGTGGAGGAGGGGGTATCAGGGACAGTACAGCTAGCACTACGGGTTCTAAGGTGCCCCTTAGGTGGAGGGTGGAGTCCTGGGGTGGAGGTGGAGCACCTAGCAGGTAAAGAGCAGTCCCTGCTCCTCCAAGGTGACTTTGCCTCCCCCTTTCTCCTGAAGGCCAGGCTTCCCACTGAGGCTTTAAAGGTACTTTTCTCTAGACCATGTCCCAGAGGCCTCTAGCCCTTGCCTCTCACTGCCTGGGCCCTGCCTTATCCCCAATAGTGAGGAATGCTTGAGGGAATGGGCAGCCAGCTACACTTGAGGAAAGGGGAGCTCTTAATGATCCATCCTGTTCTGCAGGAATGACACCAAGGAGGATGTCTTTGTTCACCAGGTAAGAGCTGGCTTCCTAGCTAGTCTTCTCTTTGAAGGCCATTGTCTTAATACTTAGCAGCTCAGCCAGGTTCCCCCAGCATTTTCCATCACAACTGGCATGTCCATCAAGGAATCCTCCTATTTGCCTCAGGTGCCTGCTTTAACCTCTACTAGCCTTACTTGGTTTACTGGAAGAAGTGTCTGCAGGAAATGTAGGGCTTTGTCCTCCAGGCATGCCATCCTCATAGGGGGATGCAGCCTGGGTGATTTCACCCCCTCTCCTTCCCAGGGAAAGGACATAGGCGACAGAGAGAGGGGTACAGTGGTTCTCAAAGTGTGGTCCCCGCACCTGTAGATGTGGCATCAATCTGACACCCACCTTCAGGCTGTAACCCTTACCTACTGAAATAAATTTATGGTGGAGCCCAGCTCTTGGGTTTAGTAAGTTCTCCAGGCGCCACAGTTTTGAGAACCACTGCCTTGGTGGAAAGGGCTCTCATTGGGAGTGAAGTAAGAAGCACTGTACATTTTACCCACTTTGCAACTTCAGGCTGGCTGCTTTTCTTTCTTGGCCTTTTGCGTTCCTGTTTATAGCCTCCCTTTTTTGAAATCCCTGAGGGATAAAGGGGGAGAAGGGAGTGTGCCCGGAGGACAGTGGTAACCACATAATCATGCCTAAAGCTTCCAGTTCCCAGCTTTTCCCCTACTAAACTTTGACCACCTCCTTGTGCCTCTCTGCAGACCTAGCCCCCAAGTGAAATGTTGAATCAAATGGGGGGAGGTGGGGCCTCCTGCCTTATTGTCCTCAGTCTTCTCATGGCCTTTCCCCCAACCAGACTGCTATTAAAAGAAACAACCCCCGGAAGTTTCTGCGCAGTGTTGGAGATGGAGAGACTGTGGAGTTTGATGTCGTGGAAGGAGAGAAGGTTTGGGGGCTATGGTGGGGTATGGAGCCATCAGGGGCCATCTCCCTGGGTTTCCAGCCTGTAAACCCAGGCTGTGGGAATGGGGGGGGTCCCTGGATGGCCGACATGGGTAAGCCTTCAGCTACTAACGGAAATGTTGGCTCAGACCACTTCAGAGACACACTGGGAAGAGATCTGGTTGTCTGCTTCTGAAAGACCATAGCCATTGGAACTCTGGAGAGCTCTGCACACACACAGCCCCCATGAGTTGGAATTAACTGCACCTGTTTGCTTTGTTTTGGTGGAATGGGGCCATGTTCTCCACTCTTCCATAGCACTGCTGTTGTGTGCCATTGAGTGTGAATGAGTAGGACTCACAGCAACCTTATAGACAACATATCTGAAACCTGTCTTGTGCCCTCCTCATCTCTGACACACCCTGCTGTCAGGGTGTTCACTCCATCTCATTGAGGGTCCTCCTCTAAAGAGTATGTCCCAAGTATCATTCATAAACATCCACCTTTCTCCTTTAGTCATTCATCAAGCATTGCCATATCTGTTTTCCACATAGGCGCCCACCTCAGGGTCAGCCTAAGTAGAAGATGCATTTTGGCTAATACAGTATTGACCACTCTCTTAACCATCACCCTAGGCCTTAAACTCAAGGATCAAATAGCTGTTTCAAAAGGGTACCTTGTCCCTTCCTAGAAAAGTATGCAAACACTTCCTTGCCTTCCAGGGAAGGTGGAAGTGGGAGTTAGAGTGCAGGAAAGGTGAAGACTTGCATGGCTGCAGCCAGTTCTGACCAATTGTCTTCTGCCTCCTTCTCAGGGTGCAGAAGCTGCTAATGTCACTGGGCCTGGGGGGGTGCCAGTGAAGGGTAGCCGCTATGCCCCCAATCGACGTCGGTTCCGGCGGTTCATCCCCCGGCCTCGCCCAGCTGCCCCACCACCCATGGTGGCTGAGGCCCCCTCGGGTGGGACAGAGCCAGGCAGCGAAGGGGAGCGGGCTGAAGACTCTGGGCAGCGCCCCAGACGCCGGCGTCCACCACCCTTTTTCTACCGCCGACGATTTGTGCGAGGCCCTCGGCCCTCCAACCAGCAGCAGCCAATAGAGGTGAGCGGAAGCTGGGAATGTGGGGGACCAGTTGACCATGTCCCAGAAAAGAAGCAGGAGACCAGAGTCTCCAAAGGAAATAGAACCTCAAGTTGGGGATGGTGTACACTGAGGTCCTGAGTGGTGGGCATCCCCACAGCTCACCCAGATTTTGTGTTATGGGTGATAAAGCCCTGGTGGTGCAGCGGTTACACACTAGGCTGCTAATTGAAAGATCAGTGGTTTGAATCCATCAGCGGCTCCACAAAAAGGCAGGATTTTTTTTTAAATTTTTAATTTTATTATTTTTGTGTGCGTGTACCGTCAAATCAGATCTGACTGGTACAGGAGGAGATTGCCCCTCCTTCCCCGGCAGAGCATCTGGTGGATTCGAACTGTGCACCTCTGGGATTGTAGTTGCAGCTTCTTGCCACTAGGCCACCAGAGCTCCCCAGAAAGGCAGGATTTACAGTCTTGGAAACCATACAGAACAGTTCTACTCTAGGATCCTGTGGCTCACTGAGTCCACAGCTTGACCACAATGTATTTGCTGAGTTGTTGCATTGTCTTAGGGCACCGATGGCATAGAGCCCAAAGAGGCAGCCCTGGATGGGGACCAACAGCAGGGGGATGAGCGGGTCCCCCCACCTAGATTCCGGCCCAGATACCGAAGGTAAGATGTCTCCTTTCGGGGACCCTTTCTCTTCCTTGACCAGGGACAGAGAGAAGGGGAAGGGGAAGGATTTAATTCTAGGAAAAGCCTAAAGCCAATGGCAAGGAGGGCTGGTTAGCGAAGACTGAATGCCCAGGAGGAAGCAGGCCTGCCTCTGGGAGGGGAGCCCTGCAGAGAAGGGGAGATACCTAGACTGGGATCCTTGTTCCCTTCAGGGCCCTTGCTTCTTTTCCTAGGCCTTTCCGCCCCAGGCCTCCCCAACAACCTACCACAGAAGGTGGGGATGGTGAGACCAAGCCCAGCCAAGGCCCCACTGACGGTTCCCGGCCTGAACCCCAGCGCCCACGAAACCGTCCCTACTTCCAGCGGCGCCGGCAGCAGCCCCCTGGTCGGCAGCCCACAGCCCCTGAGGTGAGGACTGTGGAATGACAGAAAAGGCTGGCCCACCCCCCACTTCTCCACCCTTGTTCCTTTCCACCTTCTCTGTCCACCCTCACCCCCACCCACTTCAGTGCAGCGGCACTCCTGGGAGGTGTCACCGCCTTCCAGCCGCTGCAGACTGCCCCCTCAGCCTTGCTTAGGGCCTCAGGTGTCAGCTCATGGATGAGCGTTAGGGAAGTTGGCTGAGGAAGAATGGGAAGAGAAGGGGTAGTGGAAGAGGATTGACGCTAAAGTTCTGAAGAACAAATGGCCCAAATGATGAGCCTGTTCTTTGTAGACCTCAGCCCCCATCAACAGTGGGGATCCCCCCACCACCATACTGGAGTGATTCCAACAGTAAGGACACTCAGAATACCATCTGGTGAGTATTGCTTTGGAGGGTGCACCCAGGGCCAGTAGCTGGGAACCCTGTTGGGATGCATTTGCAACTTGTCTGTCTCTCCTTCTCAGGTATCTGCCAGTTTTTTCCAGCTGACCAACTGACCTGCACCCTTCCCAGTATTCTCCTCCCCCTTATACTTGATTCATGACATCAAAAACACTGGGCTTTTTCTCTTTTCTTGAGACTCAGGAGGGCCAAAGCCACAGCCTTTTTTTGCTTTTCTTTTTTTGTGTTTTTTCCTCCTACCCTGCCAAGGGTTGAAGGAAGGGATCCATCCTTAATCATTCAGAGGCATCAACTCCCTCCCCTAAATCAGGCTGAGAAGGAACCAGCCAGCTCTTACCTCCTCTTGGTTGTTTTTCTTTCCCATCCCCCAGTTTATTTTTTGTTCCCCCTCTGTTCCCCACCTCTGAAGCCATTTTATGAACTGTCATGTGCCACCTGAGCCTCCAGTAAAAACAAAAACAGGCTTTCCTGTTGTCTGGTTCTCTGCCTCTATGTTGTCTGGAGAGTCGGTAGGGTGCTGCTGGCGTGGGACAGTGGGTGGCACAGGCTGGCCTTGAATCCTTGCTCTCAAGCCACTAGCTGTGTAGCTCTGGACAAACGGTTTCAGTCTCATCTCAATCTTTGTTGGGCCTGGGATTTGCTTCCCCGTCTACAGAATGGGGATAACTCCTAACATAGGAGGTGTTCGTACAGTGCCAAGAACAGGGCCTGACATTCGTAGCTGCCATTTATTCTGCATCAACTATTAATAAAAGCAGTGAGCAGCAGTGTAAATGGCAGCATGAGTGACAGTATCCACAGTGTTCTTAGGCCTTGAGCTAAGGCAGGACCAAAAGGGAGGAAGGAGGTTAAGGGAACTTGGGTCTTTGTCTCAGCAAACCCTTGACTGACTCCAAAACGACTCTGATCTTGATACAGTGACTTTATATATATATATATATAGAGAGAGAGAGAGAGTTACATTTAGTACAACAGAACTTTGGTTTCTTCTCCCTGTCCCTTTCAAGCATATACAAAAATACCCTAAGGCTCCTCCCACCCAGACCTTCGAGGCAGGCTTTCAAACTCCTCCTCTTCAGTTGGTCAAAAGCCTGTGGGTGCAGCACCCCTCAGGATGGAGATGAGGAACCAGCTGGGCCCTCACAGTCTTAGCGAGCAGTTGAATGTACCACCCAGAGCCTGAAGTCTAGTGGCAGGAGCCTACTGTCCCCTTTTTTTTTTGGCACACACTGGCACACACTCCTACTCCCTCTCACCTGGAAGGCTGGCTGGGAGCTGGCAGCAAGGGGGGGTAATTACCTGGGGAGGGTGTGTCCTCTGGCCTGCAGTGGTTGAGACAGAACCCACTGCCCCTGAAAGCCAAGCTGGCCAGAATTCTCAGAAAATGCCAGATCATTGGAGGAGCCCTCTCCCATCCTGCCCTTTACTTCCATTTCAATGTCCACTGAGAAAGTCAGTCCCAGAGCCTCCTGCTCCTTCCTAGCTTAGCCAACTGGGAGGCAGAATTGAGGAGCAGAGGCTGGGCCCAGTGGGATGGAAGGGGTTTGGACTATGGAGGAAGGGAGAGGGGAATGGCCCACCTTGATGGCCACAACCTAACCACAACACATAAATAAACCAAGAGTCACACGGGGGGGGGGGGGGGGGGGGGGGTAAGGAGGTGCCAGGACCACCCATCCCTCCAGCTTCCCCGTCCCACCCAGCTGAAGGCGTTTCCTCCACCCTGGGAGTACTGGGAAGAGAGGGCTAAAGTGCTGTAGAGGAAAGGAGGGGCTCTGAGAGGTGGAGTGAGAGAAGGCTGCTTCTCCCCTCTGCCATGGAGCCCCATCAGTCGTTCTCATCTGGCCCTAAGTACTCCAGTTCTGTGCTGGGTTTCACCTCCTGCTCTAAAAGAGAGGGAGTCCGACGGAAGGCAGCTGAGATCTGGTCAAATGTCCGGCCTCGGGTCTCAGGCACTTTTAAGAAGGTGAAGGTGAAGAAGCCGAGCAGGAGGACCGCAAATAGGAGGAAGACATAGGGACCCATAGCCTCCTGACAGGTGGAAAAGAGGGGTTGCTAGAGTGGGCCGGGAGGAGGGAAGGCATGTTCTCAAGCAAGCCAGAATCTAGAGACCTTCCTGGGATTCTGGAGGTACTGCAGAAAGCAGGCGGCTCTTGGGTGGGGAGTGGACATCACTAGAGATGAGAATCCACAGACAGGCATTCTCTGAATCCCAACTTGTCCTTAAGGTTTTTGGCCTCTTCACTAGTAGTACCAATGATCAAGTTTATAATTTCTTCCTGGTCTAAATAAGTTCTGCCTTACTCTACTGCTATCTTATGTAGGACACTCCATTACTGTCAGTGATTCTGATGGAAGACTCATCTTCAAGATCCAGGCAGTTCACCAAAGTGAGTCAGACCATGAGTGTGTGGACAAGGAGAGGTTCTGACTGGCCAGCAAGTGAGTTAGCTGTGTGTTGCCCACCCTGGTCTAAGATCTAGCAGGTAGAGGCAGGAGACCTACCGCAACATACTGGAAGCCCATGCCAATGATGAAGTTGCAGGTCCAGTTGGAAAACCCAGCCACAGCCATCGCTGCAGGACGTGGTCCTTGGCTGAAGAGCTCAGCCACGATGAACCAGGGGATTGGACCAGGGCCAATCTCAAAGAAGGCCACAAAGCCAAAGATGGCCACGATGGAGACATAGCTCATGGCTGGAACTCGCTCCTGGGGGCCAGGTGGGGAGTGAGAAACACAGATCAGGTCTACTTGAATCTTCCTTTGTCCTCAGCCCTAGGAGAGGACAGCTGTACCTCCCAGCAGCTCCTAGGGGCAGGAGTTAGTTCCCTTGCCCCTAGTTAGAAAAGGAGGATTTCTGAGCCTTGGCATTCTGTTGGCTACCATAAGTAAAATCGGGGGACAGGGAATAGATGGTTCCTCGGCTCCCGCGTTGCTCAGTTCCTCCAAAGAGGGGTCCTGAGGCCCCACCTGGCCCACTAGCTCCTGAGTTGAGGCTCCTTGGTCCTGGCACACTGCTTGGCCTCGGGACTGAAGGCCTGGATGACCACAGAGCCTCTTGGGACGGTCCTCACGGGTAGGGATTCTGCCCCGCCCCATCCTTCAGGCCTCACCAGAAGCAGCAGAGCCACAGTCATCAAGATGGCACAGCCACACATTCCTGCCAGGCCCAAAAGATGCAGTGTCCGACGTCCAGCCCGCTCTACCAAGAATACCTGTTAGGAAAGTTGGCTTGGCAAGAGACCTTAAAGGGTACAAGTAGGGGAACTGGGTATTGGAGGTAACAAAGAACAGGGCTGCCAGAACACCCAGGGATGTGGAGCTTGGAGGGGACCACTCCAGAGGAGCATAGTACCGAAACCAGGGTGAAGACTGTGTTGACCACACCAGCTCCTATGGTGGCATAGGCTGGCTGCCCGACCCCTGCTGTCTCGAAGATGCTGGTTGAGTAATAAAAGACCTAGGGGAAGAAGAACATGGAGATGGCAAGACATCCTCCTCCCCTCTGGCCACCCCAGGCCCGAGCTTTAATAGCAGCTACAATTGTTCCCTTCTCCCCTGCCCTTGGGTCGGCCCATGCCCTTCCTGGAGGCTGCTGCATACGTACGGCATTGATGCCCGAGAGCTGCTGGCTCAGCTGCAAAACAACTGCAATGATGAGGGGCTGCCGATGGGTCCGGCTGCCCAGGAGCTGGAGCAGGGACAAGGACCGCTCTCGCTCCAGCTTCCGCTTCTCCTCTTTCAGCTCTGCCAGTGCTTCAGACACATCTGCCCAGCCGGTTAGGCGCTTAAGACCTAGGGGTGGGAGGATCATCCTGGAAGGGCAGGGCATTGGTCCTGGGAGGAGAAAGGTACAAGCATGGCGGGTGGAGGCCTGGGCTGGACTTTGGGGTGAATACTCACTCTTTCGGGCGGGTCCCTCCAGGTTCCGGATGATGTAGAGGTAACGTGGACTCTCTGGACAGAAAGGCAGCAACACCAGCTGCAGGAAGGCAGGCAGCACTGTGAGGCCCAGGAGCAGTGGCCACAGGGTGGCAGTGCCCAGTATAGACTCCAAGCCCAAAACCTGTGGAAGTGGGGAAAGGAAAGTAGGTCTTTCTCAGCCCTTCTGCCTAACCCTCAGGTCCCCCGTCCTTTAGAACCCAAATTTAGCCTGCCTAATTCCCCTCCCCACCCCTATCCCTTGGCATTATTGCCCCATCACCTGGGCAATCAGAATCCCAATGACGATGGCCAGTTGGTTGAGAGTCCCCAAAGCACCCCGTAGGTGAGTAGGGGCAATCTCCCCCACATACATGGGCACCAACCCTGATGTCAATCCTGAGCAGAGGGAAAAAGAAAGGGCTGAAGGCAGGAGCAGGGATAGAGAGCTAAGTGCTGGGTGGGCAGCAGTGCCTGCAGATACCTGAATAGGCCCCAATGAGGAACCGTCCGAGAATGAGCATCTCATAGGAGGCAGCAACGTTGGCCAGGCCCATGAGGGCACCACCCAGCACTGCCAGGATGTTGTTGACTATCATGGCCCTCTTCCTGGCAAGAGAGTGGGGCCATCAGAGTTAGGGTCCCAGCACTGTGACTGCTTTATGTTCCCCCTGCCCCTGCCCTCCAGTTCCATACCTTCCCAGCCACTGGGAGATGATGCCAATAAGGAAGGAGGAGATCATGCCGCCCACAGAAAAGATAGCCACAGAGAGAGCCCAGAGGGTAGTGAGAGTGGCTGGTGGGATGGAGCCGGGCCCGCTAGGTCCCTGCCTCCCCAGCCATGTTTCATTGTAGCTCTGTTCAATCACCTGGGAGGATAGCACAGGAGTGAGTCGTGCAGACCCTTCCCTCTCCATTCACCCCTGATGGCCCCTGACCTCTACTTCTGGGCACACCATCCTGCCAACCACATCCCCTCACCTTCTGGGGGGCATTGATGACTCCAATGTTGTATCCAAACTGCAGGGAGCCAAGCACAGCAGAGAACACAGCAAGGACAAGTGTCCCTGTCACTCGCTGCTGAGAGGGTTCCCCATCCTGGGCAGGCAGGGAGAAACAAAGGGGGGGACAGGAGAGGTCACAAGAAATCTTCCCGTCTCTCACCTTTGTTCCAGGAACCCAGGCTCAGCAGGAGCCTTAGGATTCTGGGTTCCACCCAACACACTGGGTAAGAGAAACTAGGCCTTATTAGGAATCGTACAAGAGATCTCAACATAAACAGGCTCACGCAGGACCTGACAGCAACTGGGGCATGAACAAGAAACTGGAAGTTAGTCCAGGAGACAAAGAAATTCGTGGGGCCTATGTCTCAAGATTCCTCTATGACCTTGGGACAGGCTTGGCCTTAAAAGACCAGAGTTAAGATTTGTGTGACCTTGGCCAAGTCACTTTTCCACTCTGAGCAGAGTATTCCTTTTTGGTGAGATAAAAGAGGTTGTTGACCTTGCCTACTAGTCAATGAAAATGTAAAAATCAAACTATCTCTGACTATGTGGCTTTAAAAACACTATACACACGGTGCTTTATCTTTAGCCATAGTCCATTTCCTCTCCTCTGGGGCAGGGGCCCTCTCATCCTGCTCCAGAAGGCCCTCAACAGGCCCAAGAAGGACAACTTCAAAAGGGACATTTGGGTCACTCCTCTCCTCTATGGCCCTGGGGGTGGCCTCCTCTGTCTCCACCCGCTTCCCCCCCCCCCCAAAGCTCTGACAAGGGGTACGTGGGTCGTGCCAGTGTTTGGCCTGGGAGAACCATGCCCAGGGGAGGGGCGTGGGAAGGTGGTGTGAGGGGCGGTGGCTGAGGTGGCCCGCTTGCTGGCAGCACAGACTGTCTCCAAGCGGAAATCTGAGCTGGGGAGGGGGGGCTGACACTCCTCTCTACCCCTCCACCAACCATGTGGCCAAAGGAAAGTTCAGCATCCTGGAATATGGCCAGAAGTGGGGGTGGGGGCCCACAGGGAGCCTCCAGTCCTCGCAAAACCGCCCGCGAGCTGGGACGGACAGACAGATTCTGGAGGGCAAAGCCTGTCGCATCTGCTTTCCCACGCTAAGTCTATGGCAGGGTCACCATCCCAGAGCAACGGGCCAAGTGCTGGGGAAGGGGACCATTCCGGACTCCTAGAAACAGGTTCTGCCCACACCCCCAGAATGACCCCCCAAACCCACTCTGCCTCTTGTCAGGACTGCAATCCAACAGTCACGGGTTGTCCAGCCTGGGTATAAATAGCCAGCCTCCCACCCCCACCCTCTGCACCATCGCGGGGAAAGTTCCCGAGCTGACCCCAACCATGACCTCAGCCAGAAAGAAGCGGGACCTGCGTCCCCGCTACGCTCGCGTGCAGCCCCACCTCGGAGCCTATAGGCTGGAAACCCGACGGCATGCTGTCTCAGGGGGCAGACTGCTGGGGGCTGCAGAGCTGAGAGCCGGAGTTGGGGGTCTGCAGCCCCGGCCTGGCAGGAGCAGAGAACGCGAGACCTCAGGCTCCGAAGGTGTGCGGAAGGCGAGCCTGGTGGGACGCACCGCGGCAGGGACGGGCGGCGGAGAGCTGCGGGACCCGCGGGTATCTGGCAGCGCCGGGCTCGGGGTAGAGACCCGAGGAGCCCCCGCCGCCTCACCCCCCGCCCTTCCCGCGGCAGCCACGCCCTTCGCAACAGTCATTGGCCAGGAGCCCGCACTCTCCAGTAAGACACGCCCCCTTCGGAGCTTTGACGGCGCCGCAGGCAGAAACCGGCGAGCGTGGCCACGCCCCACGCCCCCTCCACGCCCCCTCCACACCCATTAGTGGAAGCCCTCGCGGAGTGGCCTGCTAGGCATGACCCTCCATCTCTCTCACGTCTGCCCCTGGGAAATTATAAGGAAAGTATTCAGAAACCACAAAAGCCCGCCCTCACAGACTATTGGCTACAAATTTCGAGGTCACGCCCCCATTCCTTTAGCCCCGCCCACCCAGTGGCTCGCAACTGTTGTGAAGTGATTGTGGTGGCTGCTGGAGAGCGTGGGGCCCTAGGGGAGGGGTGGGCCAGATCCACTTGCCGAGCAGCGCGGGCAGCACGAGACAGCGCAGGAGCAGGCCTCGGGGTGGCTGCGGAGCGATGGCCCCAAGTAACCTAGGACGGCTATTTTTAGCTCCCACGTTGGGAGCAGACAAATGTCAGGTCCCGCGTGTCCCGATTTGTCCCAAGCGGGGGTTGGGGGAACAAGGAGATGGAGACTTAAAGGGCCCATGACGGATTCCTACCGGGGCGGGGGGGGGCTTACCCACTGCTATAGGGCCCATTTCTACTCTGCCCCATAAGGTAAATCTTTACCCAAACAGACTGTCTCGTGTTGGTGGGTTCGAACTGCCAACCTTTGAGTTAGCAGCACATTGTGTGCCTGGTGAGGGCCACGCAATGCCTTTCCTGGCGCTCGGGTGGCGGGCTGGGTGCTCCTGGCTTTTCCTGCTTTCTCACCCTGGGGCTGGGTGCTCCTGGCTTTTCCTGCGTTCTCACCCTGGGCACTGCCTCTCTGTCCCACGCATTCCTCTCTGAGCCTCTGGAGGCGACCCGAGGGACAGGTGGTCATGCCGACCTCACCACCAGCCCGAAATCCTGTGAGACGCTACGCATGTGCTAGCCGCGTGGTCCACTTGGACCCGCTCCGGCTTAGATCACCAGCTGAGTCCTGCCCAGCAGAAAGGTCGCGCGACCTAGGGTTGGTGAGTTGGGAGAGAAGCGAGGAGGCCTCAGGAGTCAGTGCACAGCTCCCGACACGCGCCTGAAAGCGCGGGACGGTGGTGCCACCTGGAGGGCCAGGGAGGACCCGCAGCAGAGCGGCTGGGTGGGCTGCGGCCCGCTTCCCTTGCCATTTCCCGCTTCTAAAACAACTAACCCTTAATCTCTGCGAGCTCCAGCTACTGACTGAACCGGGACACTCATCATCAACACTCCCAAGCTGCTCCTTCTCCCCCTAACTTCCTCATCCTAGTGCATGGCCTTGTTAGCTACCTAGCCATCCTTTTCGAATTAGTGGAAAATCACCCTCAATTCCCACTCTTCAGAGTCCAATTACTTACTGGTTGTGCCGCTAAACCAAAGGCTTGTGTCTCCAGCAGTTCGCATCCACTAGCGCTCTTCTGCAGAAAGATATCTCCTCCTGTTAACGATTTACAGTCTCAGAAACCCGATTGGTCACTAGCAATCAGAAACCATTGACTGGAAGTGAGTGAATTTTTTTTAACCGACATAGGCATTGTGACCTCCTAAATGCTTACATCTATCTAGTTTTCTCCATCTGCACTGCAAGCAGTTGAATCCAGGCACAATTACTCTGATCTTGTTTTTTTATCTAACCTTGCAAAGGGAAAAAAGAGAACAACAAGAAGAAAGTATGCCCCTAATACCCTTACCTCAAATCTCACTGACCCACTGTCGCCACCTGGGTTAAGATCAAGTCCCTTTTTTTAGAGGGAGCAAATTGTCCTGCTCTCCCTCTTCCTCCCCCCCACCCCCAAGCCTCACTCACCTTTTCTGTCTCACTTTCTATCCGTTAATTTATATTTTAGACAACAACTACCCACCTCTTCCTCTTTTAACCAGACCACACAGTATTATTTTACCCCACTGGTGCCTTTGCCATAACTAATTGCATGATCTGTAGTGTCTGAGAAATTTTATGTGCCCTTCCAAAAAACTATCCGTCTCTGTGAAGCCTTCTTTAGGTTTCTTCAAAAAAAGCCATATTTCCTCACATTAGTATCCTTTCTTTTCCTCTCTGGACCTCATATTCAAAGATAGAAGGTCCCCAGCTAACTATGGTCAACTGATATTCAACAAGGAAATTAAAGCTATCAAATGGGGAAATGATAACCTCTTCAACAAATGGTGCTGGCAAAACTGGACTTCCACCTTCAGAAAGCTGAAACAGGATCCACATCTCACACCATACACAAAAATCAACTCAAGGTGGATCAGAGACCTGAGAGTGAAGCCCAAACCCGAAACGTTCTTAAGAGACAAACTGGAATCAAGCTTAGAAACGCTAGTGCAAAGTATAAAGAGACTGCCAACTACAACCAGAAATGCACAATCTAAAGAGGATAAAATTGATGCATGGGACTGTCTAAAGATTAAATCCATGTGTGCATCAAAACTTTTTCCAACAGGGTGAAAATAAAGCCTACAGACTTGGAACAAATATTTGGTAATACCATCTCAGTCAAGAGTCTCATAACAAAAGTTTACAGAATACTTCTGGGCCTCCACAAGAAAAAGACTGATAACCCAATTACAAAGTGGGCACAGAGGAAGGTGGAAAGGCTGGAGAAGCAGTGGCAGGAAAGACTGGGGAAAGAGGACTGACACAATGAGAATTTTCCATTGGGGGGGTGTGTATGTGTGTGTGTGTGTCCTACAGAATTTTGTTCCATTTAATCTCACAACCAACAGCGGTTCTTCTTAAACTCTATTGTTAGGTGCCCTGGACTTGGTTTCAACATATATACAACAGAACAATACATTGTTCAGTCCCATACCACCATCACAGGAAACTCTAAATGGCCTTGTGATGAGCTGCACTGCAATCCCAAAATTATGTGGTTCAAACTCACCAAGTGCTCTGCGAGTTGTTGTTGTTAGGTGCCCTCAAGTCGCTTGCAACTCATAGCAATCCTATGTACAACAGCTCCAAACTTTGCTCTGTCCTGTGCCAATCTCATTGCCTCTGACACACTCATCCCGATTGCCACAGTTACCGAATTAATCCATCTCCCAGAGGGCCTTGCCCTCCTGCACCTGCCCTCCACCCTCCCAAGCATAATGTCCCTCTCCAAGGACCAGTCTCTCCTTACAACACGACCAAAGTATGTCAGACTAAGCCTCAGAATCCTTGCCTCCAAGGAGCAGCCTGGTTTAACCCTTTCTAGGATAAATCTGCTTCTTCCCTTAGCAGTCCATGGCACCATCAGCACTCTTCTCCAACACCAAAGCTCAAAAGCATCAATTCCCCTTCTGTCCTCCTTGGTCATTGTCCAGCTCTCTGACACATAACAAGTGATTGCAAAGACCATGGCCTGTACCAGACTCACCTTTGTCTCCAGAGACACACCATTGCTCTTGAGTACTTTAGAGAGGTCCCTAACAGCAGACTTTCCCATGGCAATACGTCTTTTAATTTCCTGGCTGCTGGTGCCAAGAGGGTTGATTGTGGAGCCAAGCAAACTAAAGCTGTAAACAACCTCAGTGTCTTCACCATCCATCCTGATGCTGCCAATTGGTCCAGTGGTGAGAATCTTTGTCTTCTTGACACTGAGCCTCAATCCATATTGAAGACTGCAGCCCCTGACCTTCAACAGCAAGCTCTTCAGGTCCTCCTCAGTTTCAGCAAGCAGGGTTGTGTCATCTGCATAACACAGATTGTTTATGGATCTTCCACCGATGCTGATGCCACATTTCTCCTCATAGAGCCCAGCCTCCTGGATGATCTGTTCTGCATACATGTTGAAAAGGTATGGAGACAGGACACATCCCTGGCATACACCTTTCCCAATTTTGAACCATGCAGTGTTTCCTTGCTCTATTCTGACGCCTGCCTCTTGGCTCAAGTATAAGTTTTGCATTAGCATGATCAAGTGTTCTGGATTCCCATTCTTCTCAGAATCAGCCACAGTTCGTTATGATCCACACAAATGCCTTTGCATAAACAATGAAGCACAGATAGACATTCCTCTGGTACTCCCTGCTTTCAGCCAATATCCATCTAATATTAGCTACAATATCCCTAATACCACGACTCCTTCTAAACCCAGCCTGGACTTCTGGCCGTTCTCTGCTGATGTGCTGCTGTTCCAGTCATTTTTTTATAATCTTCAGCAGAATCTTGCTTGCATGTGAAATCAATGATATTGTTCTATAGTTTCCACACTCTGTTGGGTCACCTTTCTTTGGAATGGGAACAGATATCCATCTCTTCCAGTCAGTTGGCCAAGTGGTTGTTCTCCAGATTTCTTGGCACAACTTTGTGAGTCCGTCCAGGGCAGTATCTGTT